CACACACACACACACACACACACACACACACACACGCAGTCACACACGCCAGTGAGCACAACCATTTCACGCACAGGGAGGATGGGTCGTACCATTCTGCCTGTCATGGAGAAGCGGGGTGCCGTGAACTCGGGGCTCGCTGGAGCATGTGTCATCGCCATCATCTCCTCTTCAGCTTCCTCTCTCTCTCTCTCTCTCTCTCTCTCTAGTCAGTTATAGTCTCTCGCCCCTGCTCTGCCAAGTTCAAACACTTCTGTTCAAAGTTTTTGGGGATCTTGCGGACTCTCTCTCTCTCTCTCCGTCTCTTTCTCTCCGTCTGTCTGTCTTTGTGTCTTTCTCTCGCTGTCTGTTTCTCCTTCCTGTCAACTGAGAGTGGTATTCGATGGAGAAAGCGCGACCCCTCCCCCCTCCCTCGCTCCAAACGTATCGACTTGTTTCAACAAAGTTTCCGAAAAACAAAAATCCCTTGCCCTCCGTTCACTCTCTCTCTCTCTCTCTCTCTCTCTCTCTCTCTCTCTCTCACACACACATACACACACATACATACAGGGGAGGAAGCAGCTCTATCTATCTCTGAAATGCACTCTTTTGATTTTTAATAAACTGAAAGATCAAAGTGAACTAAACACAATCCGAATGATAAGGGAGTGAAGTGCACTAGAGAGCTATCAGTCAACGCACCACTCTAATCATACACACACTCGTTACTGTCCATGTTCTGAAAGTTTATGTTCTGAAAATACAACCCCCCCCCCCCCCCGCCACTGTACATTTAAAGCTAATGACTCTGTAATCACAAAAGATTCTGATGCTCATACTGAACATCACACACTCAGTACCGTTTGCCTTTACTCTTCTACACCTTTACACTGTAATGATTTATAATCGCAATCTGTTGTCACTCAAATGAGGAGGAGTTCCATTTTGAATCTGGTTTCTCTCAAGGTTTCTTCCCTGTTGTCTCGGGGAGTTTTTCCTTGCCCCCGTCACCTCTGGCTCGCTCATTAGGGATCTACATCAATAGCTGTAATTCTGTAAAGCTGCTTTGGGACAACATCCATTGTTCAAGTGCTGTACAAATAAAATTGAAATCAAATTGAATGCCTGGTCTTGAATGTCTGCACTGTCTCCTTCATCTGCGCAACTGTAATTCACTTTGGCAAAATGTCTGCCAAATAAATAAACAAATATTAAGTCAACATTATTAGACAGTGGAGCTATGGGAACCCAGAGACACCAATTTTACAATATAGACAAAAATATTTTGCTACAAAGTGGTGATGATAGCAGTGATTAGGGCTGGAGGGCAATATGACAAAAATATCAATGGAAGTTAAACACAATATCATTTTCTAACAAACTACCAACAAAATAGCACTGTTGCATTTATTAAAAAAGATGAAAAACTTAGTTATTGAATGTCTAGAAAAATAAATTACATAAAACTGTAAAGGAAAAAACAATGAACTATATTGCTGTTCATTTGCTGCTACTGTTAGGGGTCACCTTCCACTGTCCACATATTGATTTGGCACAGGTTTTACGCCGGATGCCCTTCCTGACGCAGCCCTCCCCATTTATCCAGGCTTGGGACCGGCACTGAGAGTACACTAGCCTGTGCACCCCAGCAGCTGGGGCTCAAACCCACAATCCTGAGATCAAGAGGCCCATGCTCTACCAACTGAGCTAGCCGGGCACCAAAAAACAATGAATTATGAATAAAATATAATTCTATTATATCTGAAGAAAAAAAAAAACTATTAAGTACAAAATTTTTCATTATATTACATAACATTTAATCAGCGACATTTCGTAAATGTTATTTTAAACTAAATATGTATTAGAAATAGAACATAACTTATTTATATGTTAATACAAATATTATTAATTATATTAATATGGAAAATATCATCATATTGCCAAACAGTACCCATGGTGTGTCAGAGATAAACATCACCCTGCATTCACTCAGCAAAAACCTAACAAAGTGCAGCTCTGACACCGTCCCAGTGAAGACGGTGCTTTTAGTCATAGCTGATTGAGGAAATGAACTCGTGTTAACGGTGTAGGAATGGAAATGTAGCTGAGTCTGCGCTGGAGCGAACAATACTTTTACATAATTACATTTTGAAATGTTTTTACTGTGTTTTGCTCACCAATGTATATAAATTTAATATTAAAAACAGGATCTTAAAAATATTAAAAGGATATTAGTGAATGAAGTTCCCGTTGTTAAATAAAAATCACAAACCACAAATTCACAGTTTCTGTTTCAGACTTCAGAAAAATACGGACGTCTTTATCCGCCTCTGCAGCTCGGAATATTTTTAATTATGACACTTTTCTTTCGGAAGATGGTAGGATTCACAAGAATTAGTCGCTGATTTTACACACACACACACACACACACACACACACACACACACACACACAAAACCAAGAACACACCTACAAACTGTAGCATCCAAAAATGAACAAAATTCTCCTGAACAATGTGTACAGTAAAGACAAGTCAACACTGACAAGAAGCACCCCCCCACCCACTCTTTCACACACACACACACACACACACACACACACACACACAGAGTCACAGAAGCCTAGTGTGTGTTCTCAATTTCTCTTAGTCATTGGTCTTCCTGCTCAGTTTTTGTCTCACACACACAAATGTCATCTCAAAGATTAATTACCATCAACAAATCGATAATAAGTGCCTCATAACTTTAATAATAACCACTACATGGAGTTAAATGTTTATTTCTTTTTTTTTTATTCATCAAGATATTTCAGATTCAGACTTAAGATTCAGGTAAATTCATGTGACAACATTTTGTAGCCTGATCTGTTTTAGGAATTATTAATAGAATAGATTTATATGAATATCAGAGTATTTTATAAATGTTAAATCACTGCTTGTGGGTCAAAAAAGCCTGCAGAGGAAAACTTAATTCATTAATTCTGTTCTGTAGTGAAAAACATCAGCAGTCGCTAACAGTATACAGGTGCTTTGTAGTTCACCTAAAAGTAACAAAATTTTGTCAATTAATAATTTATAAAATAGGCTAAACAATTTGTTATTAATTTATATATATATATATATATATATATATATATATATATATATATATATATATATATATATATATATA